AATATATATATATATATGTCTTAGTAATAATGCGAAAGCCACATCCTGCTTAAACCCTAACCCTATTCTTCCATGACTCCTCCAAATCCCAACGACAAGATCCTGAGCTACGGCGACGTCGTCCTCCGCCGCTCCGACCTCGAAATTCTCCGCTCTCCCTTCTTCATAAATGACCGCCTCATCGAATTCTATTTCACCCACCTCTCCTCCTCCCACCCCTCCGCCGCCACGAGAAAAGGTCGCCTCCTTCTTGTACCACCATCAATATCATTCTGGCTCTCTAATTGCCCGAACACGCCCTCCCGAACCGAAGTTGCCACACCCCTCGGCCTCCAGGGTCGCGATCTCGTTCTCTTCACCGTTAACAACAACGATGATTTAACCATGGCAGAGGGCGGTTCACACTGGAGTCTGCTGGTATACGAGCGGGGCGACAATGTGTTTGTTCATCACGATAGTTGTAATGGAATGAACAATCATCATGCTCGGCATATGTATGATGCTGTGAAAAGCTTTTTTGGTGGAGACACGAGATTTATGGTGTGGCGGACACCACAGCAGAGGAATGGGTATGATTGTGGAGTGTATGTGATGGCGGTGGCCAGGGTGATTTCTAATTGGTTTGAGAATGGGAAGGAAGGGGATGAAAAATGGTTGAAGAAGTTAGAGATGGAAGTGCATGAGGAGGCGGTGGCGAGCTTGAGGCTGGAGCTGTTGGATTTAATCGCCAGTTTGCGCGGGAGAGAGTGATAAATGGAGCAAACTGTGAGGTATGCTGTGAAAGAGAACGTAATTCTTTTTCCGAACGATATTTATGAATGCATGTATGTAAATGTTGGTTATTTGCTTAAACAATGCATAATCTGCGTTTTCTCAGTCATTTTGTTGTATATGTGTGTAATTTTGTGCAAATGCTATCTATGACATTTTGCGGCTGTTTATTTTACTAATCTAGGCAGAATTTATGCTTTACAACAACAAGTCTTTATACCACTAAGTCGTGTCACCTACATGAATCCTTTTTCTCCATTGTGTCATATTTTCATTTAGTTCTAATAACTTAAGATCAACTTTTATACAACGTGCCCAATTCTTTTTTGGTCTACCTCTACCTTTCTTAACATAAGTCAAATCTAAAACATCTACTCTCCTAACTGGGCATCACCGTTAACAATAACATGCCTTTCTTTTTAGGTCTCCTAGCATGATTTAAGCTAAATAAATGTTAAATTCTGCCTTTTTGGCAGAATCTAACATTTATTTAGCTTAAATCCTGCTTTGCATAAATTCTGCCTTTTTGGCAGAATTTAACATTTATTTAGCTTAAATCCTGCTTTGCATCTTGTAGGTTTTGATAAATTTGATTTTAACTATGGCTTGGTTTATATACACCATTTACTGTACTTAAAGAATTTTTCCTCCCATTAATCATAAATTCTTAAGCAAATAGCAAAACAAATTATCATGGTTTAAAAAGTTTGGCAATTATCTTGTCAAATAGTTTTTCCAAATTATAATTCTCTCAAATTTTGCTAAATTTGAATATATGAGATTTACTAAATCCTACTTGTTGCCAAGCAGCCCCCTTACAACTCAAGTTCATCATTGATTTGAAGAAATTGTAAAAAATATTAAGATTGATTTTGACCATTTGGACTTGTTTGCTACAGGCTAAAAACGTTCTCATTTGATGGATAACATAGATGGAAATGAATAATTCTAAAGTAGCATGGATATAAGCTGTTCAAAATGATTAGTGAATACTAGGGTAGCACTTTTGATAGCACTTTGTAGGAATGAATGAAAATTGATGATACTAAGAATATGTAAAGAAATTTTTGCATGATGCAATTGTTATTTGTCTTTTTGACATAACAACATGATTCCAAATTCCATATTGGAAATGAAATGATTGAGTTTAGTGTTAAATTTGTTTCATTGCACTAAATTAAGTTAATCATGGATTTGAATTCAAATTGTAGAGGTTATTTTCTTATTTTTGTAAATGAATGAATTAGAACAGAAAATAAAACTTATTATAATTATTTGTAGAAATTCTATAGAAGGTAAGTGTTTTTGGTTCTTTTTAAAAACTTGGAGTTGCCGACATTTCTATATATATATCGTCATCATATAATTTCACTTTCTAAATAAATCTTCCTCTCGGATCATATAGAATGATCGGAAGAGAAGAGAAATCGGAAAAGACAGGATGTACGACAAAAATAGACAAATAAATTTTCAAAAGAAACGTGAAAGACTTATATATAGATAATCCTCGTGTGATAGATCGAGAGTATAAGTCAGAACAAGATCGGATTGAAATACCTCAAAACATGGTATCCACAAAGGAAATCCTGACATTACCCATCCATAACTAGATAATCAAAAAGAATATTTTTGTTCTGGGGTCAATAGCACTCCCAAAGGAAGTTACCCATTTGGTTAATTACATCTTAGAGGATACCTAATAATACTCTCGATAAAAGAAGTCTTGCTTACATTATCATGACCGATAAATAAGTCACCAAAAAAGATGATTATCTCGCAGGAGCATCCCAATGCTTTCAAAACTCTTGTTAAGTCACATGGCAGAGAGTGAATCTATTACATCCTAAATGGGCAGCGACTCATCGACATACGGGAACTATGAAATAATCATATTGACTCATAGGGTCCACAATATACTTCAAGGGCCTAACCGAGCCATAAGTGCAGAGGGCTCAAATGGGCGACGGGCTATCCGATATCAGACCCTATGAGACGCATCAACGAGGTGTCAAAAAGATGATATAGCTCAAAAGGGCTCAACAAAATAAAAGGTAGAGTAATCCTAATTGGGTTGGGATGGCCACACGTATTTGTCATCCTAAGCTATTATGTCTTTAAGTCTACCTAGTCGTGAAGATAGTGGACCCAATACAATCAGAGACTCCTTGTTAGCAATCTGTGTATTGCATTGTCCAAGTAGACCTCGACAGCCTTAAGGTCAGAAGAACGAAACTGTAAGTCCTACGATCGATAAAGATAGAGCTCACAGAGGTAGGACTTGTACTCGTCAAATAAATGACGAAGATGCTACTAGAAGGAAGAGAAAAGAGTAGTCCAGCTACAAAGTTGATAACACTCGCAATAAAGGACTTATTCCCCGTTTGGGTCAGGGATACTTCTAACACCCTAATCACACTAGACGACCACCTAAATATAAATCTTTGTTGGGCTAGTCAGGTTGAAGAAGCTCGGCGGTTTCTCTTCGGGAAATGCAAATTTGATGCAGTTGTCTACCACAATCCTAAGCGTGAGAGTCCTATTAATATAATTGGGGTGAAGACCATACCATACAAATCAATTTAAAACCGACCCGAAAATCATACAAAAAAGTAAAGTGCATGTTTTAAAATATTGATATATTTTAGTCCTAAATTTTGATTAGTCTTAATCTTTTATTAGAATTTTTGTAGAAAAATTAATTTTAATATTGGGATCCTTAAAGAGCCGAAATTATAACTAGGGCTATAAACAAGCTGAGCTTGAGCGAACTGAGCCTCAGCTTGTGTTTGGCTCGTTCCAATTTGACTCATGTTCGAAATGACTCATGAACGTTGTCTTTTTGTTCGGCTCGAATAACATATTCCTGTTCGTGCTTGACTCGAAATAGGCGCAGTAGAACATATTCCGCGGAATAAAACCGAGTAACACTGCGGAATAACACCGTGGTGTTATTCGCAGTGTTATTGGTGTTATTCTGGGGTGTTACACCGTGGAATAACAGCGAATAACACCGCGAAATAGCACTGTAGTGTTATCGAGTGTTATTTGCGGTGTTATTGGTGTTATCGGTGTTATTTCGCAGTGTTACATCGTGGAATAACACTGAGTAACACTGCGGTGTTATTCGGGTGTTATTCTGCGATGTTAATGGTGTTATCGATGTTTTTTCGCTGTGTTATACTGCGAAATAACATCAATAACAACGTGAATAACACCCGAATAACACTGCGATGTTACTCTTATTTCGCGAAATAACACTAATAACACCGCAAAATATTGAGTATATTTATATTTTTATTTAGTTGTTAATCTCTTTATTTTTTTCGAGCAAATTCGAGCCGAACACAAGCGAACAAATATTTGTTCGTGTTTGGCTCGTTTATATTTCGAGCTTAAAAAATTATTCGTGTTCGGCTTGTTAAGCTTAACTAACGAGTCGAACACGAGCTGCTTAACGAGCCGAGCACTAGCTGTTTGCAAACAATTAGCCGTTTTGATAGCCCTAATTATAGCCCAAGGTTCCCAGATAAACCACAATCAAATAACGACAAAAAGGTAAGCACACCGTGCAAGGAAAACAAAACAAACCAAAATAAAATAATAATAAGTCGGGTGATGCTGGTTCGACAACATATCATAGAAATCAAAAAGGCGGTCAAACTCCGCATATACATGTCTGACCCTAGATGCTATACATCAAAGAAAATGCAGAATTAAGATACGAGATAAGAACATCTGTTCCTAGTCCCCTCCACGTAGTTCTACGTCTCAAATTTCTTGGAACCCGTGCCTGTATCTTATTTTCTCCACAAAATTCTTCTAGGACTCTAAAAAGTACATTTAAAAGTTTAAAAAAGGCTCAACCTGCATGAAGATGTAGTTAGCATAAAAACTACCTGCATTCAAGGTTGTGAACTATGCACGACGGGAGGAGAGCTTAACAACACCTACAAAAAAGCATTAACGTAAATCATTACAACTCCTCCCTGTTGGACATGACTCCCTGCAAGAGATCACCTCTACTAGTGCGTAAGTCTCACACTCATTAAATACACAAAAGCAACACAAAAGTTGATGCATGGCTAGAGCAACCAAAATAATAGAGAACTATGGATAAGACATCAAAAATACTACCTAGCACCCTAGTCCTAGCCCAACACACCATCTAGCGTATTGTTCTATCACAACTTCTAAGAGTGTGCATAGTGCAGGGGTAAAGTCTGGCTGTATGACTTTGACTGGATCGCTACACCGGCCCCGTCTTAAAGATCCAAGGAACACTGGGTTGACAACATTTTAAATAAATGACCTCACATGTGACCTAACTTAAATAGTTTTAAAAGTAGGGCTGATAGTACATAATAGGAGAATATATTCATTTTTATATTTTAAAATATAGAACCATTAAAAGTTGGCTGTAACATGCAAGTAACGTACTTTAAAGTCATTGGATCCTTAGTACAGTCATACACAAGTTGGTCATAATACGAAAACTCGTATTGCTCTCTGAGCTATCTTCTCGAGTAATGTTTGTTTAGTTATTATGATCAATAAACGGGTCGCTCATCTTAGCGAGTATGATATGCCATCAAGGCAAATGGGCAAGATGCATACAATCATGCAAAAGGTGCAACAAATTGTGTTTGTCGATCGAAGCACGAACAATCACAATGGTCGCTAAAGAGGCCAAACATACATCATGCAAGAGAACGCGAGAATGCCACATGCACGACACGCAAATTGAGTATACCGAGAACATACTATCTACAAAGACGAATTATACTCGGCCCATGAATCAACTCGGGTGCCATGCAACAAGCAGACAAAAATCACAAGTGAATTTGCATCGAGTAAAATGAGACCTATATAAAAGAATTACTCCTTACTTGAGAGACACTCACCGAGCACATGCAACCATGCAGTCAAGCCAACACGCATCCAAGGCAAATGACAAACATACAAGATGCAAAGTGTTAGAAAACTAGGTAGTATGATTCGT